GCTTGTCAATCATGACTACCAGGAGCCTAATTCTGGAACAAGGCGCAGGCTGTGGGAGACCTCAAGCCGGCCCGCAAGACTTACTCTGGGACCTTGGTATCGCAGCTAGGCCTCTGCACATAGCCACACCTGAAATCTAGTAACCTTCGAGACCGTCGTGGGTTCTTTCTAGGTTATATCGACGTCGCACATCACGTGGCAATGATGTGTAGGCCAAAGCAAACTGCGCGCTGAGCGAGGTCCAGATAGAGATCATTCCGATATATAAATTCCAAGGGGATAGAAATTGGTTCATTGGCGCAGCAACATTATTCGTGTCTAAGTGACATCTCTGTCGTACTGCAGACTCTGCCATCTCAGCGGATTCTGGCTGCTTCTACGCGCAATGTTTTGTCGCTTGTTTGAGGGTTATTTCTAAACAACTAATCAACACTGAATAAAGGTCAAATAGCCTACGTACAGGATTGCTTCAGCTGCAGCTGAATAGACCAGAAGAAATAAGGGCGGTGTTCCTGACATCGCGACTAGGTGTTTGCCGATTCGAATGCGTTGTGCAACGATTTTCTTCCCTAAATTTGGCTGTCTTGGGCATTCTTGGGCTCCTGTATGTATATCAATAGCAGTACTCGCGTTGCCATAATCAGTAGTGTGATTCACGTCCTTTCTCCTCTCAGATCGTACGACAGCTTCGAGATGTCTAACGAGTCGCATTAATTGGAAATAAACCAATCTCCGTAGCAGACCTATGCTTTGACGCCTGATGATAATACCATCCACAAAGTTAAAAGCTGCAGTAATGAGTGGATCCGAGCTGGCGATAGTGTTGGGTAGTGTTATCTCGCGGAGCATTGCTATCCAGTCTGGCATGATTTTCTCACAGTCATCGGCCAAAGTTCTGATTGGATATGGCGAGCCTGTGAGCAGGGTAAGTGACTGGCGGTTGGTTCCTCTTGTATATCCTCCCAATTCTTCTGCTGGGACCCCTTCTGGCCAGCTTTTGTGAGAATGAATCAGGCTAGGCAACTCATAGTTTGATTTTGCCGCTAGGGCTGTACGCGATGAGTATTGAACTTTCTGAACATTTCCGCTAAAATTGGAGGCTATAGTATTCGTCAAGGTCTGTGAACCTTAGCTTTATACTGCCTTCTACGGGAACCCTACCACTGTAATGTTTAATGTCTGCATGTACTTCAGCCTCTTGGTCGATGTCCATAAGATCAAAAGTGGCTTGGATCCCACAACCCTTCTTACGATCGACGTTTCTCTCAACGTCATCGATTTCCATAACTTCATAACATTCAACCACTCTCTTGGTGTCTTCTAAGCTCATCGGTCGGAACAGTCTTATGGGCTCTTTGTAGCTGGCACTATTACGAAAAGGTGCTGCGGACTTAGCCGTGTCTTCCAGTAGAGGCTCACATTCATCTTTTGACAACATAAAGTGGGTGCCGTGAAGACGGATTTGGGGAACTTTGGACAATGCTTGGGGCAGTCGTGTTGGTCTGTATCCTATTGGGAAATCCGGGGACTGGATATTTGTGACGGCTTTAGGGAAAAGTAAGGGAATGAAGCTGTGGCTAGAAGGGCTAGAAATGGTCCTAAAAGTTTCCCAAGTCTGGGTCCGGGGGGCCGCCGTAATTTTCAAGGGCAGGTGCTAACGTTAGAGCGTCCTGAATCCAGAATTCCGGTTCTAGTCCTAGCTTAGACCGGCTGAGAGCCACTATTGTGCGGGGATTTTGAACCGATTGCCTACCCATTGGTGTATACCGTTCTGCTCGTAACAGCATTTCTTAACGGGTAGCATCCCGGTACAAGAGAAGATCGTGTGTTCATAAACGAAGGAATCTGAGCTAAGATTTCTGGCTGTGCATTTCTGTAACAGGCCCAGGATGCTGTGTGCCTAAATGGTGATTTTAGCAACCTTGGCCCATTGTTCGGCTCGGTTGGCTGACTCCCGAGGTCGCGACCTCCTGATTGGCTACGACGGCGGTCAAGTTCGAACAATGTGGTACCCCCGGAAGCCGGACTGGTGGAACTTGAATCTGGGTTCACTTAGCTATGCCGTTTTCTTGATGTTCGAGTTTGGGTCCTTGGAATTAGTCTATCAAAAAGGGTCCAAGCCCTGTTTCCATACCGATACTGTTCGTGTTTCTCATCGTAGTTGGCGTTCGACGTCCGGACAGGCGAGTTTCTTCACTGCCCGTCATCCGCCGATGTCATTGACGGTGAGCCCACACGCCACTCGATCGGCGCTGTCCCACGTTCAGACTTACTTCTCCCGTGGCCCAGGTCCTTACCGTCAGCCGCCTTTGCGACAAGCTCACATTGTACCTCGATAATGATCTCACCATTCACAGTGGCTGCGCAACAGGTACGTCTTACATGCTTCAACCCTTTCCAACAGAACAATTTGAAGATACAGGGAATCTGACGAAGTCACCCAAACGATATCTCAACGGCTGACATCGATTTCAAATCTCTTTTGCTAATATTCCGAATCTCCTACCGAGCCATTTCATATCTTTCCGCTGAGAAACAGGATATCGAGAGAAAGCGCCCGAGTTTGTCTAGATCAATCGAGCCATGACTAAAGTTGAATGGCGAAGATTGGATCTGCGTGAGAACCGAGCAAAAGGACCTCAATAACAGGCCTAAGTAAACAAAGCGAGGAACCGAGGATAGAGATAGGTTGAAAGGTTGAGAATCACGTTAAACCCCCCACCCCTCCCTAACACTCTTGGTCATGAATAGCATCAACAGGTAGGAGTTCTAGACGAAGCATGCTCTGGGGCTCAAGTACTCTTAAATTTTGCTACTAACAGTTATTGCAGAATGCTCAGCACACGAATAGAGCCAGCTTAATTCAAAACAACCCACGTGGGAGCTCGCACCAACATCAAGACATTTTGAATGGACTTCCTCCGTCCCTGGGCCCTTTTCTGTATGATATACTCTTGAGTCTGTACTGTGACATAAGTGATCAGCCTCATCCTATCTCCCAGTCCAATTGCGAGCCTGGCTCAATTATCAGTCAAAGTTTTCCATGCTGACCGATTCAAAGACCCATGCCCCCCCCGTGATATATGAGGGAGGCAGCCACCTCGCCCGTAGCCATGTAAGCTGTGTCCCCACCACCTTCTCCTCAGGAGAGATCCTTCTTCCTCTTCCTTCCTACACTTTAAGTCCTCACCCGTTGCTACCACGCACCACATTCGACATCCGAGCTTTAATCAGGATCACGGCAACGTTCATGATAGAGATCACGAACCAAGTTGACCCTAGCTCTTTCCAGGAGCTCGAGAAAATCGCAAAAGCGCTGAATCCTGCAAAAAAAGTCATTGTTGTGGCGGGAGCAGGAATAAGCACAGCTGCCGGCATTCCAGTCAGTAAAGCCGCTTCTCTATCTTTCCTTCATAGGACTGACATAATACATAGGACTTTAGACCTAAAAGCGGGCTCTATGCAAAAGGACAAATCTTTCACGAGATCGCACTTCGCGATGCTAGCAGCAGGGCGCAGCTCCGGCAATGGAGCTTCCTGCTGCACCAACTTGCTAGCAACAGTGCTCCGACGTACACGCACAAAGCTCTCATGTCTATGTGCAATTCTGGGACTCTTCTTCGGTGCTACACCCAAAATGTCGACTTGCTTGAGCACTAAGCAGGCCTGCTTAGTGCTCTCGAATCAGACGACGGAAAATGTGTGGAGCTCCATGGTTCTCATCATCACTTACGGTGCCATTTATGCCAACACCTTTTCGATTGGGGAAATTTCGAAACTCACATTGCTGATGGACAAGAGTTGCTATATCCGGACTGCAAAGCTTGTTCTAATAACCGTGAGGCAGCTGGGAAGCGACGGACACCGATCGGCAAACTTCTCCCTGATATTGTACGGCTCGGCCAGCAGAATCATCCACATGGAGAGGAAATTTTTCAGATCAGTACGGAAGATGAACGTGTTTGTCCTGATTTCCTTCTGGTTCTTGGAACAAATCTTAAAGTCGATGGGCCCAAGGAGTTGGTGAAGAGGTTTGCCAAGGCAGTCAGGGCCAATGGAGGCTTAACGGCATATATTGGCCTTACAAGACCCCGGTCTGAATTCCGCCACATCTTCGACTACTCGGTGGAGTGGGATTGCGACAATTCTTTCCGGTATCTGAAGGAGCATGCCGCTGAAGCCTTCATGTCTCATAATTCGACCCAAGCAGGCAAGTGCCCAGAGTCCGGTCAAGGGCTCGGAGCACAGCCAGCAGAAACTGCTAGACGTACACGTCAGTTGGGCTCATCTTTTCAAAACCCCATCATTCTGGATTGAATGGTTCTCATGAACCTAAGGTACCAGGTGGGTGAGGAACGTCCCAGTCTCGGCGCCTCTAGAAGATGAAAGGCCTGGGAATCGCGGAAGGATATCGCCGAGGTAAGCGCATACTTTAGGAGATCCCGTTAGCAGAAATTATACAGCACTTTCGCAGCCTTCATCTTCGACATATAAATCTTACACAATCAGTATATTGCACCTTCCACTCGAGTTCTATACAAAATTGTTCGATATCATCGCCCATATAGAGGCAGGTTTCGATCCTGGATCTTTTGGGTGTGCCAAGAAACTATGTCTTTGAAAAGAAATATGGATCTATGAAGCGATATAAATAAATGCTGAACTAACTGTTCGGTAGCGTGTGCACGTGTCGCCTACCCAATTGGTGACCTTTTGAGTGAGGCCTACACCGGGTGTCTTGTGTTGGCGCGCCGCCGACGCATCACATCTGGCGAAACCTTCTCCTTGCAAGACCACGATCTCGATGAGTTCCTAGCCCAGCTCCACTCCTCACTGTAGCTGCATCATGGGACCCCGGTGTAGCTGATGACTTGTTTTGTAAACTTTCTGGCGGCAGCATGTTTGCGGACCGCCTCACGTTCGATCGAACAGATAGCGAGGAAGGATATCATGTAATACTCATTCCTGTCACTCTAAGCACCAATCTCTCGGTTTTGAATTTACATTACTAAATGCGACATACACAATTCCGAACTATCTATCATTGGTAGTCTTAATGCATTAGTAGTTGGGCTGAAATCTACCTGGAGATAAAAGCTATGAGAATGGTGCCAATCGTTGTCATTTCTCCAGCACCTGCTTCTAGCTAGTTTTCAAAATTGTCAGAATCGGCCTCAAAATGCCAAATCCTTCATTATAACCATCACTATCAAATGAAAGAAAACACCTCCAAGTTGGAGACTGTACAGAACGTCCGTTCTGGGCACTACGATATCAACACGACTCACTTGCCTCACTAGTCATCACAAAATGTGTACAAAGCATATTGCGAAGACTATCTACGGATGGGGCGATATAGTGGAAGAGGATTCAAGTAGGAATCACAAGTGCCACGGGATTCTGGTTCTCTTTCAGTGTAATAAGAAGCTTCTTGACCGCGTTTTGCATTGCAATTGATAGCTGATGATGAAGTGTTCTTGTTGGCACCTTGCCGCTTGCCCTATAACATCCTACCGCTATACCTCTGTCCAATTATGTCCTCACTCTTGATGACCATGCGGTAGCGATTCAGCTCGCCAAGGCATTCGATCCATTCTCAGAAACGTGAATGACATGTTGGCCATTAACAAAACCAATCCTGATATGACTGCTGCTAACCAGGGGAAAAGCCCCGTCATAGATATCCCGGGAGTTCCATTGCGTTGCGCTTCGTGATCAACTGGCCCTGTAAAAGCTGCTCCGACTTCGGCCGCAAGCCCTTGTACCTCGAACAGACAGTCCTGAAGCTCTTGGGTGCAGAAATTGGCCACCTTGCGGTCTTCAATCTGCATGACGATGTTGTGCAGATCCTCCCAAAAATGAACACATGCTCTGACTCTGTCAATAAAAATTGCTTTGGCGTTCATTATGTCAGTTTCGGTCTGAAACATTTGGTCACTGCCTAGGTATTTATTTCCATCAGCTTTGTATCTTTTATTTACAATGTAGAGTAATGCTCTCAGCACAGCTAATCATCTAGATCTGAGCTTACCCGTAGCATCGGCGGGAACGTCCATTTCCCTATCAGTTACCGATATAGTGACACAGTTGATGGGTTCGACCATCGCGACTCGTTGGCGCTGCCGAAGCAGGCTTGAAGGATTTTTGGGCGGGTTGTGATTAGGTATTGGAAGGCTGTGAGGCAATGCTAAATGAACCAGCGTGTTGGAAGGGGCGAGGGAAAGGATTGGAACACTTGTCGTGGAGAACACCGAATTATGCAGACCCTAGCACGGCGTTGATGATAAGTGGCCTTCATAATCGGTCGTTCTTTGAGATTCTTTCAGTATCCTTCTTGCTCGGTCACTACTTCACGTGTCGTAGTAAAAGCAAATCGAGTTCTGTCAAGTTCCACCACAGATGCACATGCCCCGACCCGCCGGCCACCGTTCCCCTCCCCGGCCAGAATGAAGAGAGAAAAGTAGGTACCGAGGTCATACTAAATAACAGGTTTCACATCAGCGAATCATCTCGCTCTTGCTGGTGGCCGCAAAGATGAAGCTGAACCTTGGTTTCACGATGTTTGGGAATGGAATCCTACCTCAACGACGAACAAAGGTCATTCGAGCGGCTCACGATCTTTGGGTAAAACGAGCCCAACGACTTCTCGCCCCAAATACTCTGCAGCCGAAACGGTCGGCTGCTCACTCCAAAACCAAATCGTTGACCGGCTGTAAGAAGTCGCCATCGTAGGAACAAGACGTTTGTTCTGACTGCTGTCGTTGAGTATTTGCAGCCTCACACTGCGATGCAATCCTTGTGCACAGATGCAGATCAAGTAATATGGGGCTTCAGAATTGCTTAGGCTTCTGGCCAGAACACTTCGCAGAACGGCCGACGGCGCTGTCGCCGTCGAGGAATGTTCGTAGAGGAGATGTGGAGTCGCACTTGCTTTCTTTTGCTACTGATTGTGGCGTTGTGCGACTTGATATTAGCGCTGTACGATGCGCCCATACCACCCCGACCACTACAAGGATCGAGGAAAGCAGGATTTTTTGAGGAGATTAGCAGATAAATGATTGACTGGCAGGATTCGGGGTATCACAAGGTGGAGTGAATGCAGCAAAGCGCAACGGAAATGCATCGCAATGACAATAGATTGGATTGATGATTACCCGACTTGACCCTTCCCTCCTTTCTCCTCTGTGCCGTCCTTTATTCTCCTCCTATTATAGTTGCACCGAATCCCCCCCAGTGTGTGCTGCGCAGGTTTGCAGGTCTGGAATGAGTTCCTACGCGGAGTCGAGATTCCAAATGAAGTTTCAGTCGCACGGGAGCAGCGCCTCAAGCGTCCACATTTACTGTCTGGACAACAACGAAGCGCGATGACTAGCGCGATGACGTCCGCCACAAGCCATACCCCTCACACGACTATGTAGGATGATGCTTAGTTGCGCCGGGGCACTGTCGGGCCAACGGTGTAGTCTGCTGCTTCCGTGTACAATATGAGAACCCAGCAGTCGCATGAGAGCATGCTCAAGATTATGCGACTCAAATACGTCCTACGTGTATTATGACCCGGTAGTCGGCGTTTGGAGTAAAGTATAGAATTTCTATCATGACAAGAGGATCTTCTGAAGGACGAGTTCGGCCTTAAGCGTACACATGGGAAATTCAGCCGTCAGTTGCAACAATTTGATTTGGTAATTAAATTATGGACTGACGGCATACCAAATGTTGCTGTGTTAGCTGCTTGTAGTCGTTCCGGAAATTTTGCTGCTTAAACATGTGTTAACAAACTCATCAGATTAAGTCCTGTTCAATAGATTCAAGCTCTGGAGTTCCATCAGTGACTAGAACCCTCCTTCGTGCGATTTAGCGCCATGAGGGTGGCAATCCGGCAGGTCCGTAGCGATGCGCCATATCGGTATGATTAAGATCAATTCTCATATTTCGAATCTCAAGCATCCAAGATCGTTCAGGATATGAGAGGCTGTGCTTGAAATAGGATCTATGCTTTATACCATGCGTTCCTGGGACCTCGCAGGCCTTATTTCCGTAACACAGGATTCCGGGCGGTCGGTTGTGAATGATCCCGACCAGTTCTTAAATGGCCAGGAACCGCGGGCCACAGGACTCTGCGTTCCAAGGTATTAGCTCGCTAGGATACCGGCTTTGCTCTCTTTTCTGAGGCTTTCTGGGTTTGGCGTTGGGCTTTTATTAAGCATGAATACAGCAGATGCCCTGGTATTTTACTTTGTAAGTCTTTAAAGCGGAAGAATATGACTGCACATTATCTATTTGGAATTCTGTGATCCACCATTCAGTCGTATTTTGACGATGATAACTACACGCTGAAGGCCAATCTCCTGCCGGTAACGCCATTGTAATGGTTTGGGCTTCAGTTGGACTCACCAAATCTTGATTTCAATCAACCCGCGGTTTCGGTGCCCCTGTCTCAATTTGCGGCCGACATCCTCCGGAAACCAGGTTCCGTAGATCCTGTTTTCCCCCAATACATAACACGTCATATAGCCTACCAGAGTTGGGACCGTCCGCGGAAAACATGGTCTGGCTTAAGCGGAATTGTGGCTTCTCGCAGCTCCTGCGCGGTGTTCAAGAATGTTTGATTCGAGCGTATTGAAATCCAACAGTTTCTCGGACTAGAGGAAGAGACGAACATCAAAATTTTTCAAGTTGACCTGTGACCTTGAATACATGCCAGTCGAGGGTAATTGTCCTAGAAAATAAGGAACTAAAAGCCAAAAAAGCTTTGCTTTCTCAATGATACTACTTCCTTTGATATTTCATTATATTATTGTGATTGGACAAGGTGGACTGCGCGCGAGGTGCACTGGTCATCGTTAGCTCTATAGAAGCACTAAAGAAGAGGCAACATGTTTTGGCTAGTACTGTACTATCAAAGGGTTTGTCAAGACGACAAAGATGGGCACAGAGTAGTGGAAAACGTGAACCAACCCCGACCGTTCTCTCTAGCTGATTCAGCTTTTCTCTCTCCAGAATCGACTTCACCTGTTATCCAGATGGTCATTACTCTTTACCCATACTAACTTTAATTGCTTCGCATCATCGCTGCGATAGCCTTGAACACTGCCGAAACTTTACGCCTTGACGGATCGCCGTGTAGCAGCAGGAAGAATGGAATGCGAGGCTTGCCGATCGGCCAGTTTCGGCCGAGTATGATTATGCTCGACGAGACGCACTCAAAAGGTGAACAGATTGCCTAATTGGCCGATAGAGATAGTTTGGCATGTCTCGAATTCCTCTTGGTGTTAGGCACAGACCCGAAGTTTAAGGCCACAGGCTTTGCTCAGGCAGTTTGCTCGACGAATCCGTCCAGACAGTGGAAAGGTCATTTGCGTAAAGCACAGGAAGGCTCCGAATGATGCAGCGGCTTGATCGTTTCTCGGGGACACGTCGACGTCGAAAAGTTGGTGCGAAACCTTTACGGAAGGCAGATTCATTTGAGGATTCCTGCGAGAAGGAGCCTGGTCTGTAGAGCTGGGAAACGCGTTGCTCGAGGCAGACGCATCTTATCGTACTGTTTCATGAAAATGTTGCCTCCGCAAGGTAGCAAGGAGAACATGCTACGGTGGGCACTTGACCAGTATTCGTAAAGAATTGTGGGATGGAACGAGTGTCTTTTACTTGGCTATCTGTGTTCGACACATAAAAACATGAGTCCCTGAGAGGGCATTCAGAGTGCAGTCACAATCTGAAATGCTAAACCACCCGCTTTATCCCACAGCAATAGTGTATGTCTTCGATATTCATTGATCTACGCACGAATCAAGTAGATGTCAACCTCAGTAGTGAAAAGTTCGAAGGCGGGAAAGGCATCCACAGAAGCAGGATCGCCACGCAAATGCACGTATCAGCCTCACATTGTTGCTTGGCGGCTATCATTTGTCTCGCAAGTTAACCTTCCGGGCCTTGAAATGTCTGCGGATCTCATAACCCGAGCATGCAGCCATCAGCGCCGTCAATGCAAAGGCAATCCAAGTAATCACTGCGAACTTTGACCCGTAGACACTGATAGGCCGACATGCTGACCGAGCTCACAAATCAAGACAAAAGCCCGAGAAGACGACATTTAGGGTATAGAAGCCTGCTATAGCTCGGAATGGGCCGATAAGCTTTTCCAACTCGTCCTGGAGGTCCACTCGTTGGTGCTAGTGACTTCCGCTCGGCATGGTATTGACCATCTGATCCCTGACATTTTGGTGCCCTGCCGGCAAGCGCGACTGCCTAGCTGACAAGCACGGACCTACAGGGCGCCCTGGCGCTACGCCCTTCTGCGAAGCGCATCTCCGACATCATTCAATTCCTCTTCCTAACATCACGACTGCAGTATGGCATCTTCGACGCCCGCAACGAGCTTCAGCAGCGACGATAGCAAACATCGTGGGCGTCCAACCAAGCGCAAGGCCCAGATGGCCCAAACGCCGTACGCGCTGCCATCTCCCAAACGATCCGACGCAGGCAGCGACGTGGACCGCGACGCGCACGACACATCGGAGAAGGCGGATGCGGCCGTCGTCGAACAAGCATACCGGGCGATCTGGGATAGCTTTTGCGGACGCCTAGTGAGGTCGACCGTCAAATTTCCCCTGCAATACCAACAATCATACGACGAGCTATACCAGAAACTTGAGGAGCATCGAGTGCCTGGGTTATTGGCATACTTTCAAGGGTTCGGACACCCGCATCATTTAGACCTGCCTGGCCTGGCTGGCCTGCCCTGCTTGGTACGTGGATTGCCACATCAAGCCATGGCCATACTTTGGACAGCCTTCCGTATACGACACATGCTATCATATTTCTCACTTTGCTTCGTTGATGTGGTCGTCTCTCACTTACACCGGCGAGTGGATAGTTCAAGAGCGAATTTAAAGCAGCGGGATCCTCGTTACCCAAGGTTATGCGCAATTCCGGCACCTCCATCTCCATCCGATCTCAACCCAGGATACGTTATTAAAACATCATCTCTGTCGTGATAACAGGGAACATGCAAAAATACCTGCTTTTGTTCTCTTTCTGTGATGGGAGAAGCTACATCCAAAGGTGCATGCCGCGGCCCTTGCTAGTCTCTTCTGGTGATGCAAGCCCAACTCCCTGCTGATCGTTCTTGAACTTTGAAGCGCCTGAGAGCTGTGTCGTCGTAAGTGTTGCTTCAACGAAGTGGTGATCAACTATCTTGCTTGTGAAGCCTCTCAGACATATGGGCGAAGCGATACCAAGGTCCGCGAGAGCATCTCATCAAAAGCAAAGCCATTGCCTGCATTGCACGCGTGGCATGGAGCTCAACGTTAGAATGTGTTTTGAAAATATCTGGCGAGTTGTAATACTGCGTGTCCTGGGATTTGCGGTACGTCGAAACGCTCCAGAACTCACGAATCTTTCGCCTTGAGTTCCACGAGAATTAAACACATTCATTTCTTCGGATTGTCGAAGAGAAGGGATGTGACGCGTCAGGAACAGCATCACCCTGTAAATCAGCGCCGAAGCAAATTCGAGGCAACCTTCAGACAATATCATACAAGACTCTCCCTTTGTAAGCCTCATTCAGCATATGTATAACCGTCATGCCGCCCCTGCGGAACCCTTGTCGTCTTTCATGTAGCAGCAGAAGGCCTCTCTCGAGCCCTCCATGTCATCGACCTGGTGTTGAGTTGCATTACATCGTTTGCAATCATGGTGACATTTCTCCTGCTATGAAGCGGTCAGTGTTGGCCTGTAGTTTGCAGAACGTACGTACATGATTGCTCCGAGAGTTGCGGAAAAACCGGAGCAATAAGTTCCATAATGAACCCATGTTGAATACAAAGTCAGTCAGGAGGAGGCAAAGCACATGGTAATATCGTGGCGCGAATCCATTAGCATCAGGATGACCACGAGAAACACAGCTTATTATAATACTCCGGGGCCAGCTCATGCGTTCATTTGTTTTGGGACGAAAGAAAATGGGAACAGGTCTGCGACGCGAGGCCCAGTTGAATTTGCTGCAGATCAAAAGCAAGTCATATAGAGGAAGTCTCTCTGCGAGGAATAGAGTCTAGGTTTGTTGCCTCGTCAACAAGTATGACGGACGGCACTGCAGCTGAGCCTACTACTCTTTCATCAAAAGGGCATCACCTCGTTCAAAATGATGAACATTGGGCCGCGGCGCAACGGTTGAGACTATAGCGCGGTTGAGACAGAGCATGGCAGGGGAGCAGCGTGAATATGTGCCGCATCCACGCTGGCGCTCATTTCTCGTGCATAAGTCGCACCTCGACGACCCTGTGACTGCTGCATGCGTGCTGGGTGCACAAGATAAGCAGGCCTGAGGCCCTTTCACGCACGGCACTCCTTGCAGGACAACCCTACGTTACGGCTGAAGATCTTACTCTATTTGCTTAGGACACCAACGACCACGCACAGCACTCCTTGCAAGACAAATTCCACGTTACAGTTGTTGATGGGCCAAGCGTGCTTGGAACAGACACCAGGATCAGTACCCACAGGAATGACGCACAGAGAACACAGTGAACCCACGTCGGATCCCTAGTAGTCCAAGCATGGCTGTGCTAACGTTAGAACTTTAGCTAGGAGAGATAGGCTGATCGGCAGGATGCGAAATCCTCTTAGAAATTGGAACCGACTCGATTGGAACCATCGAGAATCACACTTTCGAATATCTTCCAGTTTTCGGATCCTTGCCCGAAAAGGAGAACAAGGTGAGGCTCATGAAGATCTTGTGAAGGCCGAGGCTGAGCCACTTGCCAACATCTCCCCCTTGTTGTGTCCTGAAATTCGCGATGCTGGGAAAGCGGGAAACTTGTTTTATCTCGACGAGCCTAACGTCTGCAAGCATTTGCTGGTTGTACACTTATATTACATCCTGCCACTAAACCCATTAGACTGCCTTGGAGATCATGATCTCGACAGAGAAAGTCACAGTGCTCACATTCGCGGCACAAATATAACGGTAAACATGTGTGATGCAGCGAACGGTGCAATGCCCCATTTGAAGCCACAAATCACAACTTATTTCAAAGCGTGCATCAACTTGTACCAGACGGTTTTACAGAGATCTTGCCCTACGCCGGGTCTCGAGAAGTTCAGGTCGTTCCCCTAAGTTAGAACTTTAGTTATCCTTGTCAATCTATTTTCGAAGTCAGACGACTCGAGCTTGAATTATACATAGTAGAGACGATGAAATGGTCATTCAAACCAACGGATGGTAAATTTATGGGCAGCACAGGAAATAGGCTGATTCAGGCTTATGTGATTTGTGGAGCTGATGCTGCTAGACCAGTGGTTTCAGGGCTCGTGACAGGCCTAGACTGCCCCTTTTTATCGCACATTCGTCGCTTGCCACAGTAGCGATTGAGATGATCGCTAAAATAAGGATTCGCAATGCAAAAACAGCGAGCACAGCCGCTGCCCAGAGCTGTGCTATTCCTGAGACATCGGAGAGACCACTGGAAAGGTAGGTGTAGATATATACCATCCAAAAAAGCGCGGTGAGCCCAGCCAGATATGACAATGGGTGGTGGATCACATCGGTTACGAGTGGCTTAAGCAGAGGAAACCTCGCTAGGACAGCAACAATCATCCAGGCCGAGAAGAACATGGCGATTGGCAAGACCCCACTTGATTCTCGAGATCGGAAGATCAATGAGCCCAGGTAGAGGAAGCTTGCATGAAACTTAGGGTTGTTAGTGTCCGCCATCGATAGCCGAAGGGGGAGACCTTACCAGGATCCGGATTGGAAATGGGTATGCTGTCGACATTCTTGTAATGTTATTACGCAGTCAGACTTGTTTAATTGGGACGGTTGAACATTTCAAATGGGCTTGACTTGTATGCAGACCATGCTTGACCTTTTATGTATTCGTTTCAGACAGATTGGCTGGCGACATTCGAGCGCGGACCGCTTTGGGACTCTGGTGGGACCGAGAATGGTCCTCTGCTCCCAATTTGCCCGCATGTGGCCCAGTGACGGACCAACACAAGACCTGCCCACGGCTTGCCAGGTAAGTATGTGGACCGCCCTTCAAGATCTGTATCCTACGGCCTGCGACTGCTTTGGGCCCTGACTTTTAAGAGGTATAACAGATGGCGGTTGGGCGTTCCGAAGATAGCATGTGCGCCAAAGTGAAGCCCGCACATCCAATTTCGGTCTTCGCGGGGACGTCGCTGACTAGAAAAGAACACTAAGATTTGGAATGTGCGCACAAGCGATTTGTCTTGGACCGCAACACGAGCGAGTGACGTCCACGTGCTGAAATCACGCCCATCAATGTCCACCCCATGCTCCACGAGTCGCCGGAAGAAATTTCTCTGTTCTTCTCAGGCCTCTGAGATTAGGGATAAGGTTCGACCGGGGTATTTTTCTGATGGCTCAGCAGCGACGTGCGATGTGGAGGTATATATGACTCGCTTTACAAGAGACTGTACCTATTTGCGACTACGCGCTGTGCTTGACTGTACTTCGTTCCTGTCATCAAATTACGGCGAAGCTGAAGTGGCCTGAAGAAGACCTGCCTGGCCTTGTTTTCAGCGTCATACTTCTTTATATCGATTACTGCCCTACTCTTTCCGACTAGTACGTCCATCACCTTGTTCGAGGCCTGAGGCCGTACCTTATCTAGCATACGAGAGGCTTCGATTGAATGTGCAGTTGAACTGCGCTGGATTTGAGCAAAAGAAGCCTCCTGGTGAGGCCACTCATACCTGAACGGAGGAACCAACAATCAGGTCCAA